CAGGGAAGGGAAAGGTTTCGCCGGGAACGGGGACGAGCGCGGGGAAAGGTACGGGAACGGGCGCGGGGAAAGGCACGGGAAAGGGAAAAGGAGCGGGCGCGGGGAATGGAACCAGGACGGGCGCGGGGAAAGGTACGGGGACAGACGCAGGGAAAGGAACGGGAACGGGCGCGGGGAAAGGCACGGGAAAGGGAAAGGGAGCGGGCGCGGGAAATGGAACCAGGACGGGCGCGGGGAAAGGTACGGGGACGGGCGTGGGGAAAGGAACGGGGACAGGCGCAGGGAAATGTCAGAATCCCAACCACTAGACCATTGGGATAAAAGGGCTTGTTTCAGTAGCGGGTCAGTGCGCCCATAACCCCCCAGGCAAACGCGCCTGTAACCCCCCCTAGGATCGATCGGGGATCTCACAGTGCAGCTCTACTAACACCCCCCCACACTGGGAGGCCCAGGACTGAGCACAGTGGCAACGGCCTACATGTGCATACACCGGGATTCGAACCCGAGACCGCTCTGATACCACTGTTCTAAAGGACTCTCCTCTACTTTGCAGGAACTGGTATTTGCACTAAATGATAGAGCTCTGTCTTAGCTTTTCAACGAGCCGTCACACACGTCGATCGCCTAAGTATCCGCCGAGATATAGGCGTTCACGTGTTGGGTGGTGCTCTTGAATGCAAGTATAGAAGCTCTCTGGAATTTGTGTCGAGTTGAACCGTGTATAGGAAACTCTGATTTTCAGTATGAAGCATGCAATACAAAGCAACTAGTTTTATAGCATGCAATCAACATCGAACCGCGTTCGTAACATCGCATCGCTACACTTTGCGAATGTTCTCGTAACATTTCGAAGGGGTGAAATTCGACACTCGAATTTCACTCATTCGAATGTTCCTTCAAGTCTCGAACTTTCTGGTGCTGCCATGTGGCACCGATCTGCAGGTCTTCCGAAGTCAACCTGCAACTTCACGAAACCTGCCGTGAAGTCAACTAGAAGCAACACATTCGGTGGTTGGGGGCAAACCTTGCCTCACGCAACCTCCAACACTCCCCCTTGCACCCAAGCCACTAGGTGTTCAATCCAACACGCTCACAACATGCACGGAATGAGTCCTTAGGGAGTGGTTTAGTGAGGAAGTCCGCGGGTTGAGCTTTGGTCCTTACGTAAGTGAGTTTGACCTCACCCTTCTCAACCGCCTCACGAATGAAGTGATGCTTCACCTCGATATGCTTGGTTCGCCCGTGAAGGACGGCGTTGTGAGAGAGGCTTATGGCGGCTTGGTTGTCACAAAAGAGAGGAGTTGGGTTCGATTGAGGATGCCCAAGCTCCGCTAGAAGACGCCGTAGCCATATCGCCTCCATGGCACCTTGAGTGAGTGCCATATACTCCGCTTCCGTTGAGCTTAGAGCCACGGTTGGTTGCTTCTTGCTTTGCCAACTCACGGCTGCCCCAAGCAAGGTGAAGACGTACCCGGAGGTACTCTTGCGCGTGCTCGGATCTCCCGCGTAGTCCGAGTCGGCATAGCCTTTGAGTTCAATTGGGCCGGCTTCATACACGAGCCCCAAGTTAGGTGTGCCTTGGAGGTAGCGTAGAACGCGTCCTCCCGCGCGCACATGCTCGGTACGAGGGTTGCTCACGACTCGTCCAAGCACCCCGGCGGCGTATGCGAGGTCGGGACGAGTAGAAACGGCGGCATACATGAGCGAGCCCACTAGCGAATGAAACCGCCTCCCTTCGGCTTCGTCGAGGGCGGATTCTTCCTCTCCCGTGAGGCAAGAAAACCCCGTAGCTAGTGGTGTTCCCACCGGTTTGCTATTGCTCATGCCGAAGCTCTCCACTACCCCCTTCACATACTTCTCTTGGTGGAGGTGGATGGTCCCGTTGGCTCGGTCACGGTCGACGTGCATTCCGAGATAGTACGTGACCGGCCCCAAGTCCCTCATAGCAAACTCCGCCCCTAGCCGTTGCTTGACCTCCCGAATGAGGTCTTTGGAGTCGGAGAAGAGGAGTAAGTCATCGACGTAGAGCAAAAGCACCAATTGCTTCTCCCCCTCCTTCAACACGTATAAAGCGATATCGCACTTGCTACGCGCGAAGCCGTGTTGAAGAAGAAAGTCGTCGATGCGCTTGTACCATCCGCGTGGACTTTGCTTCAAGCCGTAGAGGGTACGCTTGAGCTTCCACACCCTTCCGCTACCATCATCGTACCCCGGGGGTTGCCGCATGTAGACTTCTTCCACAAGAAGCCCGTAGAGGAAGGCGGTGCAAACGTCCAATTGCTCCACCTCGAGGTTGAGGGATGCCGCTAGCGCGAGCAACACCCGAAGAGTTGTAGCCTTAGCGACGGGAGCGAAAGTCTCGCTATAGTGCTCCCCCTCCCGTTGAGTGTATCCTTGAGCTACAAGCCTCGCCTTGTAGCGTTCGACAATCCCATCGGCTCCCAACTTCTTCTTAAGTACCCATTTGCACCCCACCAAGTAGGCACCCTTCGGCGGGTCGACGAGCTCGAACACGTCGTTCTCTTTGATCGAGGCTAGTTCCTTCTCCATCGTGCGGGAAGGACGACGGTGAGTTGCGGCGTTGGTTGTTCCTTCGTCGGGAACTTGTCTTCGTCGAAGACCACATCCCGAGACGTGACGACGCGCTTGTCGGCCAAGTCCCACACTCGCCACGCACGCTCGTTCGCCGCAATTCCCAAGTAGATTGCCGCACGAGTCTTCGGTTGCAACTTGTGGCAAAGGGGATCCGGTACATGGTAGTAGCAAAGGCACCCAAAGGTGCGAAGGCGGGATAGGTTCGGCTTCGTTCCGGTCCATGCTTCGAATGGAGTCATTCCCGGGAGCACCTTTGTCGGCAAACGGTTGCGAATCCACGCCGCTAACGAACTCGCCTCACCCCACCACTCGCTCCCAAGCTTGGAGTGTTGAAGAAGAGAACGAACGGCTTCCACCAATGTGCGATTAAGCCGCTCCGCCGCTCCATTTTGTTGGGGTGTGTAGGGTGTTGTGACATCATGCTTGATGCCCTTGCTCTTCATCCATTTCGCAAGCTCGTTGTTCACGAATTCGCCACCACCGTCGGTACGAATAACCTTGATCCGCTTCTTGTCGTCGTCGCAAACTTCGAGCGCCCATTCTTGAATCGCCTTGGCCACATCTCCCTTAGCCTTCAAGAGCCGGGTCCAACACATCCGCGTCGCGTCGTCGAGCATCACCAAGAGGAACCGCGCTCCTCCCTTTGATGCATGTCGCATCGGTCCATACACGTCCATGTGAACAAGCGCAAGCGGGTCCTTAGCGAGGGGTGACGTTCGGCTACCGAATGGCTTGCGAGCCATTTTTCCTTCGACACACGCCGTGCACACGCCCTTCTCGTCGTCGCCGGCGATCACGTCGACTCCCTTCGCAAGTCCTTTGTTGGCCAACTCCTTGACCGATTCGTAGTTGGCGTGTGCAAGCCGATTATGCCACGCCTTGAGAGTTGCCTTGGACCCTTGCGCCACGTTGGATGAAGCCGCTCTCGGGTGCGTCTTGAGTTGGTAGAGTTCTCCGTTGAGAACGCCTCGTGCGAATTGCTCCCCCTTCCAAAAGAGGTTCATCGTCGCGCCATCGATGGTGACCTTTACGTCCTTCTTCGCGAGTTGAGTGACGGAGAGTAGATTCACCTTCAACCCCGGGACGTGAAGCACGTTCGTGATGTCCACCGGTCCGCCATCGACGATGAGACGCGTACTCCCAACTCCGACCACCGGTAGCGACTTGTTGTTTCCGAAGACGACGCGCGTGACGTCTCCCGGTGCACCAACGTTGGTGAGGAACGATGCCGAGTGCGTCATGTGTTGTGTTGCGCCGGTGTCGAGGAACCACGCGTCGCTTGGAGTGTTGGTCCCGTCACCGGCCCATAAAACGGTCGACTCCCTTGTATCATCTGCCTCGCCGGATGCCGTGTGCGCGTTGCCCTCGTGGTTCCGCACCTTCGATGGAGTCCAATCGCTCGGCCGCTTCCGACACTCACGCCAAAAGTCTCCCGCTTTGCCACAATAGTGGCACTTGCTCGCGCCGTTCGGTGCGCTTCCCTTGCCGTGATCGCTTCCTCCGGGCGACTTCTTCGTCGCGCCCTTGCTCCACGTGGAATTCTTTCCGAAACTCCCTCCGGAGAACATGGCGGCACCCTCGCTCTCATTAGCGAATTGTCGGCGACGCGATTCTTCATGGAGAAGCCGACCGACCACCATTTCCTTCGTCCAAGTGTCTTGCACACTTTCTTCCGGAAGGCCGCATAGCAATGTCAAAATCCAATCCTCCTCCGTGACCGTTCCACCGAGGTCCATGAACGATTCCCCGAGTTCCTCCACACGAGTCGCATACTCGTGCATCAATTCGCCCACGCGCATCTTCACCGTGTAGAACGCATTCTGGGCTAGGATCTTGCCGTGGAGAGTCTTGTTCACGTGGATGGTCTCGAGCCGCTTCCACGCTTCATGCGCCGACGCTTCGAGCTTGATGCACATGCGCACCGAGCTCACGAGATTGATGCCGATGCGCGAAATCAACGTAGCGAACGCCTTTTGGTCCTTCTTCTTCCATGTCGCGATGCCGCTCTCGTCGTCCGACTTCTTCTCCGTTCCATCGAAGAGACCCCAAAGTCCCCGCTCCATCATGAGCACTTGGAACTTAAACTTCCACGCGGAGTAGTTTTGTCCCGTGAAAATCGGTACCGCCGACGTGTCAAACATCGTCGCAGTTGCCCAGGGTTCGCCGGAATTTACAACGACACCATCCAAGGAAGTGCGGGAGGCCTCGCTTGAAGTCGGCATGCTTGCTTCTTGTCGTGCGCGTAGACTCCTCCGACCAGCTCTGATACCACTATCAGAATCCCAACCACTAGACCATTGGGATAAAAGGGCTTGTTTCAGTAGCGGGTCAGTGCGCCCATAACCCCCCAGGCAAACGCGCCTGTAACCCCCCCTAGGATCGATCGGGGATCTCACAATGCATCTCTACTGACAGGAAAGGCACGGGAAAGGGAGCGAGCGCGGGGAATGGAACCAGGACGGGCTCGGGGAAAGGTACGGGGACAGGCACAGGGAAAGGAACGGGAGCGGGCGCGGGGAAAGGTACGGGGACGGGCGCGGGAAAAGGTACGGGGACGGGCGCGGGGAAAGGTACGGGGACGGGCGCGGGAAAAGGAGCGGGGAAAGGCACAGGAAAGGGAAAGGGAACAGGCGCGGGAAACGGAACCAGGGCGGGAGTGGGGAAAGGGACGGGGGCGGGTGCGGGGAAAGGAACAGGGACGGGCGCGAGGAAAGGAACGGGGACGGGCGCGGGGAAAGGAACAGGGACGGGCGCGGGGAAAGGGACGGGAACGGGTGGGGGGAAAGGAACTGGGACGGGCGCGGGAAAGGGGACGGGGACGGGCGGGGGGAAAGGGATAGGAACGGGTGGGGGGAACGGTAAGGGGAGCGGTGCAGGCAAGGGGAATGGGACGGGGAGTGGCGCAGGCAAGGGGGGTGGGACGGGGAGTGGGGCAGGCAAGGGGGGTGGGACGGGGAGTGGCGCAGGCAAGGGCGGTGGGACGGGGAGTGGCGTAGGCAAGGGGGATGAGACGGGGAGTGGCGCAGGCAAGGGGGGTGGGACGGGGAGTGGTGCAGGCAAGGGGGGTGGGACGGGGAGTGGTGCAGGCAAGGGGGGTGGGACGGGGAGTGGTGCAGGCAAGGGGGGTGGGACGGGGAGTGGTGCAGGCAAGGGGGGTGGGACGGGGAGTGACGGAGGCAAGGGGGGTGGGACGGGGAGCGGCGCAGGCGAGGGGGGGTGGGACGGGGAGCGGCGCAGGGAAAGGGAATGGGAGCGGAGGGAGTGGAGGGGGCGGAGGGGGTGGAGGGAGCGGTGGGGCCAGAGGGAGCGAAGGCGGAGCAGCAGGCTCTGAAGGCCAATCGACAGGCGGAGTGGCTGGGTCTGACCTGTCACTGGAGCAGCAGGCTAGGATTGCTGAAGTGAACAAGGTTCTGGGATTTTTGTTCGAGCGGAAATTCACGGGAGCTGCAATGGGGATCAGCAGAAGTGGTAAGTTACCTACATGTATTTAACCAGTCCTTTGAATCGAAACCATTTTCTCTCCGTTTTGTATGCGATCCGTCTGTTTGTTGCAATTCTGTTCATTCCTGTACCCTGTAACCCTGCCCTGAATTCTCTAGGTTCAAACACGACTCTTATGAATACTCTACTTACAAACAACGTTACAATCTTTGCACCAACCAATGGGGCGTTCTTCCGCATGCCCAAGAATGTGCGTTTCGGCGGGCTGCAAAGGAAGAAGGGAGTCCTCTGGCAGGTGATGGCCTATCACGTGCTGCCACGTCGAATGGAATTGAATGACCTCAAGGCCCTTGAAAATGGATCTCTGGTGAGTTTGAAATGCTATATTCTTGCCTTTATAATCCAGCATGTTGCCTCACTTAGACAAGTCCATTCCCATTAAGCTCCACTCTCACCTCTTCCCCCAACCTGCTCGTTACATCTCTTCGCCTTTTCAATCGACGCCTCCAACTTCCTCGCATATTCTCCATATAGTCACTTTTATCCCTCCGCCCTACACCCTCCACGACCGTATTTCCAGATGGAAACACTCGATAACTTTTCCCTCAAGAAGAACCAAACACGCAACCGGCTGCGTGTCGTCAGGGTTGAAGACTCCTCCTCGGGTGCGCGGGTTCTGATCGGAAACATGTACTCCAGTCCATCAATCGTTGTCCATGCGGTCGATACTGTGCTGCTTCCGACAAAGGTAAAGAACAACGGCACGTGGACAACGCCTTGGTGAAGGCAATAACGCCACTGCACCAAAAGGCAACGCCAGTGTGGTGACGGCTGTTGGTTGAGATCCCTTTTGAGTTGACTCAAAAGGCATTCCGTACATGATCCAATGCTACCGTGATCCCCACCCGATTTGGTGGTCTGGTTCGGTAATGAAGGCCTGCCGTACCAACTCAAACTCCTCGTCCGGTGCCGCATGGCCCAACCCTGATGCTTCCGAGGGTGTTGGCTGTGAGTGGAGCTTCGGCAGCGACGTGATGTGGGGCCGAGGAGAGGGGGGAAGAGGGGAGGGGAGCGGGAGGACAGAGGGAGGGGAAGAAGAAGCGGGGATGAGAGGAGAAGAAATAATAGGTGAAGGGAGGGGTTGAGCGAGGACTGGAAGAGCAGCCAGCACAGGACATCACCTGCTCTGGTCGTCAAGCTCGGTGAAGAAAGCCTGGCGCAGCAACTCATTCTCAGCTGCTAGTGCTGCCTGCGGCAGAAATTCCGCCTTTGAAGTGGTGGCTCAAACACTAATAATTGGTAGTGGGTGCATTGTTGGGGTATAGAACCCATGTATAAAATGTATAGTGAGTGATCCCTTTCGCTAATCACATTACCTAGTGTAGCAACACTATATCATTTTGTGCCACTTCGAGGCTCGGACATGCGTGGGAAATGTGGTTCTCGCTCCCCATTCGCCACCACCACCCGTTCAGCTTGGCATTGCCACAAACTCTGATCTGAACCGTGAATGCTGGTTACCTTGGTGTTTCCTGAGCCAAACCAGGCTCCCACAGTCAAGCCGAAGAGTCGCCAGCTGCATTCCGGGCCTTGGGTTTGCCCCAGAGTCAGAACCACAGGTTCTGACTCGGCTTGGAGCCTCCCAAGCCAAGACAAGCTCCCATAGTTACGAAGGGCAAATGAAGGAGAAACCATGTCGAACCGAACCCAGCAGGGTGACCAGAAATCCAGGCAAATTGCTTCCCACAAAAATAGCGAATGGTAGGATTCGGCTGTGACTACTCTTCCAACCAGCCAGCTGCCCTGTGCCGTCCCTTGTGGTTCGCCCTGTAAGGACGCGGTAAAAGTGCAAATATCGCAGGATCGTCTGCACATATCGATCCTCGCAATCGATTGGGCAGGTCGATTTGCGAAACACGGCGATCGCGACGTTGTAACGATCGCTACTGAGATTTGACAGATCTCCCGCGATCAGTGATCAGTCGCATTCACATACTGTACAAAAAATTGGGCCATAAAGCGTACGGTAGCATGGTTACAGCGTAGTAAATAGGGTAACCAATCCGCACATCGATCGCAACTGAAGATCGATCGTCTACTTTTACCGCGTCCTAAGGACGAGGTTGTGAGCACAGGAGATGGAAGGCTCGAATTGTAGGACCTGCAATGGCGAACAAAGCAGACTCCGAGCCGTCCCACTGTCCAGATGCGGGCTTGGTTTGAAAAGCGTCCCTATCGAGCCTGCCTCCTTTTGGTCTGCGAGATGCCATGGATACTGGTTCGGCATTCCGCGGCACTAAAGAATCAAGGCCAGCTAGCACAGCTTTCTCGCCCTCAAGTGAACCAATTCTGGAATCCTTCAAACATGTGAAATCATTCATGGTGGTTCTTTCCGGCCCTTTTCACGAGTCAGTGACTAAGTATTCGTGCTTCCTTGATAGTATCAAAACGAACGGCTCGAGGACTTCAGTTTTTGTGGCAACGACAGTGTCGCTTCGGAATGGCTACCGTGTCGCACATCGTGTCCTCCGTTCCAGGAGTATCACGGAAAACAGTATCACCATCTCCGAGCAGGAACACTCGTTATCAGCTGATTCGTTTCCAGACACGAGCCTCACATCATGCTGACTCGTGTCATGCGTCTGGCTGCATCGGTAAAAGCTTCAGCAGCAGCAGCACTACCACTTGTAACAGCAGCCTCCTTATAAAGAGTTATTTTGCGATGAAGCCTTCTGGAACTCGCGATGTTAACCGTGGATGCCATTGGAGGGTTGTTGCTGCGTCTGCGTCTTCTCCTGCTGCTGCTGCCAGCACCACGGGCACAGGGGGACCAGCAGTGTCGGAGGCAGTCATTGTGGGTGGAGGATTGGCCGGCCTCGCATTGGCAATCGGCCTCCGCAACATTGAGATTGACGCGCAGGTGGGGCGCTATTTGGAAGCAGGCATGGTGCTGGCATCAGGTACGGTAAGAATGCGCGAATCAGGGAAAAGTGTTGGTATTTAATAAAAGTGTTGGATTTGTGTAAATAGCTAGACGTTGCCTTCCTTCTTCTATTCCCATTGTGTATGCCTGTTGCAATATGAGGTTCATGGTTCAAATGCAGACTGGTTCGTTATTCCATGTAACCAACCATTGCCTGTAGCATGCTATCTTGCTTCTAGTTGTGCGCTGTGACTGCCAGCAGGAAACTTTGTGCGCCTTCTCCTCTCCTCTGGATGTATGTCGTTGCTAGGATCCCAGCCTCTACATACTACCATCCAGGCGACAACCTCATGATTTGGTTTTCATACGCCATGCCGTGCCATTCTGTGCCATGCCCAATGCCGTGCCATGCTATGCCTGATGCTGCATCCCCACACGCGATGCCTCATGCCACATCCCCACGTGCAGGTGTACGAGGCATGGGAAGGGGTGCTAGGCGAGGGCTTTTGAGACCAACCAAGAGCCATTCTATGCCACGAGTCAAGCCACATCCCCGCATCCCCACGCGGAGGTGTACGAGGCACGGGACGGGGTGCTAGGCGAGGGAACCCTCATCACGCTCTATCCCAACGGGCTCAATTAACGTTTCAAAGCATGTCCTGTAACTTGCTTCATCTCAAATCCTGCTCACAGGTGTATGAGGCACGCAGCGAGGTGGGAGGAGGTGAGGGAACCCTCATCACCCTCTATCCCAACGGGCTCAGGGCGCTCAACCGAATCGACCCTGCCATTGTGCCCCAGGCATGTGCCAGTTATGCCTGCATGTGATGGTGATGCGTGCATGTGATGGCGATGCGTGCATGTGATGGCGATGCCTGCATGTGATGGTGATGCCTGCATGTGATGGCGATGCCTGCATGTGATGGTGATGCCTGCATGTGATGGCGATGCCTGCATGTGATGGTGATGCCTGCATGTGATGGTGATGCCTGCATGTGATGGTGATGCCTGCATGTGATGGTGATGCCTGCATGTGATGGTGATGCCTGCATGTGATGGTGATGCCTGCATGTGATGGTGATGCCAGCTTGTGATGGCGATGCCTGCATGTGATGGTGATGCCTGCATGTGATGGTGATGCCTGCATGTGATGGTGATGCCTGCATGTGATGGTGATGCCTGCTTGTGATGGTGATGCCTGCATGTGATGGTGATGCCTGCATGTGATGGTGATGCCTGCATGTGATGGTGATGCCTGCATGTGATGGTGATGCCTGCATGTGATGGTGATGCCTGCATGTGATGGTGATGCCTGCATGTGATGGTGATGCCTGCATGTGATGGTGATGCCTGCATGTGATGGTGATGCCTGCATGTGATGGTGATGCCTGCTTGTGATGGTGATGCTTGCTTGTGATGGCGATGCCTGCATGTGATGGTGATGCCTGCTTGTGATGGCGATGCCTGCATGTGATGGTGATGCCTGCATGTGATGGTTATGCCTGCATGTGATGGTGATGCCTGCATGTGATGGTGATGCCTGCATGTGATGGTGATGCCTCCATGTGATGGGGATGCCTGCATGTGATGGTGATGCCTGCTTGTGATGGCGATGCCTGCATGTGATGGTGATGCCTGCATGTGATGGTGATGCCTGCATGTGATGGTGATGCCTGCATGTGATGGTGATGCCTGCATGTGATGGTGATGCCTGCTTGTGATGGTGATGCCTGCATGTGATGGTGATGCCTGCATGTGATGGTGATGCCTGCATGTGATGGTGATGCCTGCATGTGATGGTGATGCCTGCATGTGATGGTGATGCCTGCATGTGATGGTGATGCCAGCTTGTGATGGCGATGCCTGCATGTGATGGTGATGCCTGCATGTGATGGTGATGCCTGCATGTGATGGTGATGCCTGCATGTGATGGTGATGCCTGCATGTGATGGTGATGCCTGCATGTGATGGTGATGCCTGCATGTGATGGTGATGCCTGCATGTGATGGTGATGCCTGCATGTGATGGTGATGCCTGCATGTGATGGTGATGCCTGCATGTGATGGTGATGCCTGCATGTGATGGTGATGCCTGCATGTGATGGTGATGCCTGCTTGTGATGGTGATGCTTGCTTGTGATGGCGATGCCTGCATGTGATGGCGATGCCTGCTTGTGATGGCGATGCCTGCATGTGATGGTGATGCCTGCATGTGATGGTTATGCCTGCATGTGATGGTGATGCCTGCATGTGATGGTGATGCCTGCATGTGATGGTGATGCCTGCATGTGATGGGGATGCCTGCATGTGATGGTGATGCCTGCTTGTGATGGCGATGCCTGCATGTGATGGTGATGCCTGCATGTGGTGGTGATGCCTGCATGTGATGGTGATGCCTGCATGTGATGGTGATGCCTGCATGTGATGGTGATGCCTGCTTGTGATGGCGATGCCTGCATGTGATGGCGATGCCTGCATGTGATGGTGATGCCTGCTTGTGATGGTGATGCCTGCATGTGATGGTGATGCCTGCATGTGATGGTGATGCCTGCATGTGATGGTGATGCCTGCATGTGATGGTGATGCCTGCATGTGATGGTGATGCCTGCATGTGATGGTGATGCCTGCATGTGATGGTGATGCCTGCTTGTGATGGCGATGCCTGCATGTGATGGTGATGCCTGCATGTGATGGTGATGCCTGCATGTGATGGTGATGCCTGCATGTGATGGTGATGCCTACATGTGATGGTGATGCCTGCATGTGATGGTGATGCCTGCATGTGATGGTGATGCCTGCATGTGATGGTGATCCCTGCATGTGATGGTGATGCCTGCATGTGATGGTGATGCCTGCATGTGATGGTGATGCCCGCATGTGATGGTGATGCCTGCTTGTGATGGCGATGCCTGCATGTGATGGTGAGGCCTGCATTTGATGGTGATGCCTGCATGTGATGGTGATGCCTGCATGTGATGGTGATGCCTGCTTGTGATGGCGATGCCTGCATGTGATGGTGATGCCTGCATGTGATGGTGATGCCTGCATGTGATGGTGATGCCTGCATGTGATGGTGATGCCTGCATGTGATGGTGATGCCTGCATGTGATGGTGATGCCTGCATGTGATGGTGATGCCTGCTTGTGATGGCGATGCCTGCATGTGATGGTGATGCCTGCATGTGATGGTGATGCCTGCATGTGATGGTGATGCCTGCATGTGATGGTGATGCCTGCATGTGATGGTGATGCCTGCATGTGATGGTGATGCCTGCATGTGATGGTGATGCCTGCATGTGATGGTGATGCCTGCTTGTGATGGCGATGCCTGCATGTGATGGTGATGCCTGCATGTGATGGTGATGCCTGCTTGTGATGGTGATGCCTGCTTGTGATGGCGATGCCTGCTTGTGATGGTGATGCCTGCATGTGATGTGATGCCTGGATGGCTCAGGCCGCTCAACAGAACCGACCGTGCGTTTGTGCCCCAGGCATGTGTGAGCAATGCATAAGCCTGTAATAGTTGTGCAAGGGGTCAGGTCCGATCGAACTTTGCATTCGGCAAAACCACGTGGTAGAAGCAGCAACCGATGCTGCGTATGTGCCCCCTCTTCCACTTCCTCTTCCTCATCTCTCGCTTACTTTTCCAGTTGACTTCCCTCTTAAATCTCGCGGCCCAAATTACGGACCGTGCTGAGCAAGTTTACTAATCTTGCGCAGCTGCTGTTTTGGGTACTGTGAATTGGCGAATGTAGGGTTACAGTAGGTACGAAGCAATATCATTGGTCGAGGTTTAACCCAGGGCTATAACTTCAAGTTTCAGCTTTCTGCAATTTGGGACTCGAGGTCTCAAACAGGCAGTTGGCCCTGGGGTTTGCTGACTCAGCGAAAAGCACCCGAGTGTTGCGAAATCAGACATCGCGACCCTCCCAACACCTGCTTGACTTTCCCAAACCACCCAGCCCTCAGACTAGCGCAAGCTTACTAAACTTGTGCAATTTGGGCTGCGAGCTTTCACCATTTTCTCCTGTTTCCTCGTTTTTCCCCCGTGTCCTCATTTTCACCTACTTACTCGTTTTGTGTTATTTCCCCTTCTCTTTCCCTCAGCTGACATCTTGTGGAGTACCAGACCCCACCAGTCGCAACCGCTCTCCATCCAGAGATCTCCTTTCCAGTGGGATAATGCGTCCAACATGACCGCCCGGTTTGGCCCCCCCCTGCTCACCATCTGCTGTTGCTTCCCTCCCGTGACGCATTCCCTCCCGTGACGCATTCCCTCCCGTGACACCTTCCCTTTGATCTCCTATTCCCTCAGCTGATATCCCGTGGAGTACCGAACCCCACCGTTCTCAGCCGCTCTTTAACTGGCGAGCTTCTTTTCCGGTGGGAGCTTGCGTCCAACATGACCCCCCGCTTCGGCTTTCCCATGCTCTGCATCCGCTGGCGAGAGATACTCGACGTGTTGCACGGAATGCTGCCAAACGACGCCGTCCACACTGGGCACAAGCTTGTGGAGTTTTCACAGGAAGCGGAGGGGAGTGGTGAGGGGAGCGGCGCAGCCACGAAGAGTGGCTCGGTGAAATGCGTTTTTCAGAAGGTTTCCGGTGGTGAAGAGCGGTTGGTGGAGGTGGAGGTGAGTGGGGGAAAGGAAGGAAAGAAGAACGGAAAGGAAGAAAAGAAAGGAAGAACGTGGGGATGGTTCTGTGTTGAGGGCGAGACGGGGGGAGGGAGTCGGGGGAGTGGGGGGAAGGGAGAAAACGGTCTTGTGATCGGTGTCTTGTGATCGGCCATGGCAAAGGGTGGGGTGGGGTGATGACGTGGAGTGATGATGTGGGGTGATGACGTGGAGTGATGACGAGGGGTGATGACGTGGGCAACGGTCTCTCTTAATCGTTCATCTGCCTCCTCCTTTTCTTCTCTCCCAAATTCAGCATTCACCCTCTGCCTCCTCGTACCTCTTTCCACCGCATTTCACCCCTTCTTTTCACCCCCCCCCTCCGTCCTCCAGACCCCTCTGCTGCTGGGGGCAGACGGCATTCACTCGGAGGCACGGAAGCAGCTGCTGAGCGGTTCAGCAGAAGGCGGGGGAGTGAGTCCGCGGGACAATGGTAGAACCATCTGGAGGGCCGTCGTTGACAGCAGCCTCTGCCCGCACCCCGTATGTGTGCCTCTGCCCGCACCCCATATGTTCCTCTCTGCTCCCAACCAGTGAGTGTCTCATATGCCCAGCTATGTGCTTCTCGGTTCCCACCCCGCGTGTGCCTCCTCTTGGTCTGCTGAAGCCACACGTTATTCACAAACCATGATTGGTACTCGATTACACCTCTGTTTGCTGCGGGCTCGCAAAAGCGACGCACACAGTATGGTCAGTGTCAAGTGCTCTCTGTCTGCCTGCTGAGAGTTCTCAAGGTGACTTTGAGTCGACGTGAAAGTCAAGTGCCCTATGTCTGCCTGCTCACGAAACTCAAGGTCCCTTTTGAGTCGACCAGAAGGTCAAGTGCTCTCTGTCTGCTGAGGGCTCTCAATAAGCACACACAAACAATGCTCGGTGTCAAGCCAACCTCACAGTAGCTGCTCTACAATTGATCATAGAGCAGGCAGGCTATTGCTGCTACATGGTTTTTTTAAGCTGACAGCCTTTGAAACCAACTAGCATCTGCTGTAGATTTGATCATAGAGAAGGCAGGCTATGTCTGCTACTAGACTATCCCCTCCTTTCAGCCTTCTCCCTTCTTACGGCCTTTCCCTCCCGCAGCTCCTGCAGCCACGGCACGCACTCGCTTTTCTTGGCGTCAAACGCATGGCAACCTTTGTCGACTCTGGAGCAGGAAAGCTCTACTGGGTTTTAACTCTCGACGATTCCGCCGATCCGACGGTCAGCAGCGCGCGGTCCAGCGGGGGGGAGGAGGCGCGGGGGAAGATCCTGCGGGCTTTTGAGGGGTGGGATGTGGTGGAGCAGGTGGTCAAGGCCACTCCCCCCGACCTCATTCTTGAACGCCGCGTGCTCGACCTCCCGCCCCTGCCCTTCTGGGTCAAAGGGAGGACGGCTCTCCTTGGAGGTACGCCTGGGGTGATGGTGTGTGGGATTTGGTGCAGGTGGGAATAAATAGTAATTGTTTAAGGGTAGTCTATGTGAGTGTGTCATGTTGCGAGTGTGATCTCAAATGGGATTTTACGTATGTTGCCTTATACTATAGAGGGTATGACAAGGAAATATCTAAGCAACGACTATGGATAATTGAAAACGGGGAGGTCCTATGGAAAACACATTCACAAGCAGCACTATCTGCAGCAATCTGACAATCTGAAAACACATGCCAAGGCTATCTGTCAGCACTACCTGACAACAAAATTTTACTCATTGGCATGACAATGTGCCAAGTTCTGTAGTGCCCCATTCTGCTCCCGTGCTTAGTCGTTTGGTTGGTATGTCCTTGTGACAGTGCTGAATTAGACCCCTGAAGTATGGCCAGAAATAGAGCAGTGGGCCAATCTTCCTGCGCTCGTGTTTCACTCCCCATATCTTCCCTGCCTTTCATGGATTACCCTCCGCCTGTCCAGATGCGGCGCATGCAGTGACGCCAGGGCAGGGCGCTAATATGGCGTTTGAGGATGCGGCGCAGCTGGTGGAGTGCCTTCAGGCACACTCGCATGCCAGGTGGGTTCTCAGGTGGCTTGTCAGGTGGGTTGTCAGGTTCGTTGCCAGGTGGCTTGTCAGGTGGGTGCTATCGCATGCCGGGTGGGTGTAATGGCATGCCTTTTTTTTGCTTTAGGTGCTTGTTTTCTATTGCTCCATTGCGCCATGGTGCATTCGCGTAGTTTTGCATCCACCCACCCTCCCTCTCTTCCTCCGGTCGTCTTGCCCTCCCAATCCCCCTTTGTTGCCTCATTAGTGGTAAACCATCCTCCTCCCACCCTTACTGCTGCCTCCCCGTTCCTCCTTAAACCCCCATGTCATCCCAAAACGGTACCTAAGAGTGAGACGGTCCAAAGCAACATTTCCTCTCCCTCTCCTTCCCATCCCTTCCAGTGATGCTCTTTGCTCCTTCCAATCCCTCCACATGCCACAAGGGGGTCTTTGAAACGCCAAACACACCCCCCCCCTCTCCCCCTCCCCCTCTCTCCCCCCATTCTCCTTCCCATCCCTTCCAATGACGCTCTCTGCATGCCACGAGTGCAAGCGGTGGCATCACGTCACATTCGTCTCTCCCTTGCTTGCTATATCTCCCTTGCTATTATCCATCCTCCTCCCTCCCTTACTGCTGTCTCACCCTTCCTCCTCTAACCCCTGTGTTAACCCAAAATGGCATCTGAGAGTGAGACGGTGATGCGCTTTGCTCCTTCCAATCCCTCCGCATGCCACGAGTGGGTCTTCGAAACGCTTCAACCGCATGGCCCCCCCCCCGCTTCTGCTACCCTACACTTCCAGTGACGGGCTTCACTCCTTCCAGTCCCTCCGCATGCCACGAGTGCAAGCGGTGGCATCACGTTACGCTGCCGCCTCAAAGACGATTTATGGCGCCAAGAAAGAGAAGAAGGCAGCAGGGAATGGGGGAGGAGCAGGCAGTGATGGAAGTGAGGAGGATGAAGTGCCAAAGATTGAAGAGGTTCAAGCGGCAATGGCTGCAGTGGCGGCACGAGAGGGGCGTGATCCTGATGAGGATCTGTATGGTTATGACATCGTGGTCTGGGAGGAGGAGGATCGTCGTGTTGCGAGTGTTCTGCACCAGTAACGTGTCCTTGTTAAAGAACTTCGTCATTACAAGGGGGCTTGGTCCTGATGAGGACCTGTATGATTATGACATTGTGGTTCTATAAGAGGATTTTCTAGTTACAAGTGTTGTGTTCTGATTTGGTGTGCATTCACAAACTCACAGTGATGCTCTTCAATGCGCCTCATGTGATGCTGACGAGGTACTCTATGCTTGCCTTGTGAGTCTGTCATGTTGCTGCAGTGAAGCAATACATGTTGCCTCATAATTTACGTAGTTTTTTTCGCTTGCCATGCATACAACTTTTCCACTAGATTTTCCACTTTCTCTCAGTCTGTACAGAGCTCAGAACCCTTAAGCACTCATGGTCCTACACCTAACTGCATCCGACCCGACCCAGCCCAGTCATTCCAGGCAACATCAGGCATAAATTAGAATTGCTGTGGGTTTTCAGAAGTCACCTGCAATATTGGTGTAAGAGTTGCTATTACAGAACAGTTTTTTGTACAAAATAGCCCGCAAAAGGAGAGTCATGCGGTGTACTGTGCGGTTGAATTGCTGAGGTACCAGTTAGGTAATTCGCGCCGAGTTGATGGTGACCACGAAGTGGTAATGGCTACCACGAAGATGCCCGCAAGATCCGATGGGTTTCATCGAGCCACGTGGCTGACTGCGGGGCGTATGTCAGTGTGCTGGAGTGACCCCAGCGGTAATGCCCCAGATTCCGAACCACCATCTGCTTTCCGGGCCTTGGGTTTGGCCCAGATCGGAGCCACAGGTTCTGACTCGGCTTGGAGCCTAGCCAATCTCCCATAGCTACGGCGAACGAACGAGAAACCATGTCGAACCAAACCCTCGTGTTTCCAGAATTCCAGGCAAAAATGGCTTCACTTTCCTGATCCCACCCAAATCCTGAAAGCAGCTGTTCCGACTCGCAACACTGGAAATTGGATTGGAACCGCAATGGTGAACAAAGCAGACTCAGGGCGTGTCACCTCGGGGCTGGAAGTTCAAATCCGAACATGCATAACGAATTCACTGTACGAACAGTGTCCGAACACAAAATTGAACACTCTGTTGAATGTGACAGCTCGTCACCAGAGGTGACACCCTCTCTTTTCGAACACGCAGCCTGTTCGAACATGCGACGTCGCCTATAATAGGGCGACGTCGTTAAGCGTCGCAAGAAAAACTTTCAGTCGCCTGCCATTCTAGTTTGACCCATTTTCGCCCATCCATTCACAATGTCTCCTCGTACTCTACTGCTGCTCACGATTTTGTTTCCCTGCTACACTGCCCTTTCCGATGCACTGCGACTGTTTCCGGTGAGAAGCGATTTTGCTAGCGACTAGGCGGGGTGCTGTCCAATCAGAGGCGTCGTCCGTCCTGAGAGGGGGGCTCCTATCATTCTGTGTTCGAACAGCGCTGTTCGAACCTGCAACACATTTGGCAGCATGCCCGATGTGACAGTGCTGTTCGGAATGGCGAATCTTCTGGTTAGCGACGTCGTTAGGGGTTTACGAAGCCTGGCGAAGCATGTAACATTTCGCCAAAATGGCCCGCTGGAATATATTCGCGCAAATAGCAGCCACAGATTTCCCTCAAATGAGCCGATTCTGGAATCATTCTAGCATTAGGAGTCATTCACGGGAGGTCTTTCCCGCCCTTTTCACCATTCAGTGACAAGTATGCGTGCTTCCTTGTTGATAGTATCAAAAGGAACCTCTTGAGGTCTTCAGTTTTGGTGGCAACGTCATAATCGAACGCTTTGGAATGGCCACCGTGTCGCACATCGTGTCGACCGTTCCGGGAGTAACACGCATCTTAACCGTCCGTCTCCTGGATCCGAGGGATACAGCGTCGCCATCTCCGAGCAGGAACCCGCGTTCTCATCTGATTCGTTTCGAGAAACGAGCCTTACATGCTGAGCGTCGTGCGACTGGAAGCATCGGTAAAGGCTTCAGCGTTAGCAGCAGTACCAGTAACAGCCTGTTGAGCAGCCTCTCTATCTTCAAGGAACGTGTTTTTGCGGCGAGGGGGTCGTCTGGGACTCGCAATGTCAACCGTGGAGGCTTTTGGCGGGGTGTTGTTGCCTCTGCGTCTTCTCCTGCTGCTTCGGCGAGCAGAAAGGGCGCAAGGGGGACAGCAGTGTCGGAGGCAGTGATTGTCGGTGGAGGATTGGCCGGCCTCGCAACTGCTATTGGCCTCCGAAACATTGGGATTGACGCGCAGGTGTGGTGGTAACTGGAAGCTGTAATCCACTAGGTAAGAATGCTGGAATCAGGAAGAAGTGCTTGAATCAGAAATTAAGTGCTGGAATCAGGAAACGTGCTGGAATCAGGGAAAAGTGCTAAAATCAGGCAAGATTGTTGGAATCAGTAAAAGTGCTGGAATCAGGGAAAAGGTGCTAGACTTGGGTAAAAGTGATGGAATCAGGGAAAAGGTGCTAGACTTGGGTAAAAGTGATGGAATCAGGGAAAAGGTGCTAGACTTGGGTAAAAGTGATGGAATCAGGGAAACGTGCTGGAATCAGCTAAGACTGTTGGAATTGTAAATAGCTTGTCATTGTTTCCATCAGTCCTGTTTCGTATTGCTTTACCCTTCGTTGTTTCATTCCCGTTGTGTCTGCCTGTTGCATTGTGGGGTTCATGCTTCAAATGCATTCCATGTGACACGTCACAACTGCATGTAACGTGTTGATCATGCTCTGGTAATGCTCTGTGACTGCAAATGGGAATGCTGTGCGCCTTCTCCCATCCTCTCAATGTATCTCGTTGCATAGCATCCCAGGCTCTACATACCATCCATGTGTAGGTATAGGAGGGATGGGAAGAGGTGCGAGGGGAGGCCTTTGAGACGCCTCAAAATCCATAATGTTCCTGCCTCATGCCCATGCCACATGCCATGTCTCATGCCTCATGCCACATCCCAACGTGCAGGTATACGAGGCACGGGACGAGGTGATAGATGGGGGAACCCTCCTCACCCTCTTTCCCAACGGGCTCAGGGCGCTCAGCAGAATCGACCCTGCGATTGTGCCCCAGGCATGTGATGGTTATGGCTGCTGCTGATGCTGATGCATGCCCATGGGAACCGGTACTAGCTGTGCATCATTGCTCTTGTCTCCTGCTTTTTCATCTCCTCCTGTTTCCACGGCTTCTCCTGTCTCCTCGATTTATGTAGTTCCCCATCTCCTCTTTCCCTCCGTTAATATCCCGTGGAGTACCGAAACCAACCCGACTCAACCGCTCTGAAACCAGCGATCTCCTTTCCGGGGGAACCTCTCGTGCAACATGCCCTGCAGTTCAGCTTCCCCATGCTCACCATCCGCTATTGCTTGCCTCCCTTCCCTTCCCTTCCCTTCCCTTCCCTTCCGTTCCCTTCCGTTCCCTTCCGTTCCCTTCCCTTCCCTTCCGTTCCCTTCCCTTTCCTTCCCTTCCCTTCCCCTCCCTTCCCTTCCCTGCCCTTCCCTTCCCTTCCCTTCCTTGGCCCATTCCCCTTCGTCTCTGCTTCCTCTCAGCTGATTTCCCGTGGAGTACCGGACCCCATCGGTTTCAACCGCTCTCCAACGGGTGATATCCTTTTCCGGTTTGAGCCCGCGACGAGCATTACTGCCCGCTACGGCTTCCCCATGCTCTGCATCCGCTGGCAAGAAGTCTTAGACGTCCTGCGTGGGATGCTGCCAAACGATGCCGTCCATATGGGGCACAGGCTCGTGGAGTTTACGCAGGGAGAGGAGGAAGAGGGGAGCGGCGCAGTGAAATGCGTTTTTAAGAAGGTTTCGGGCGGTGAAGAGCGGTTTCTGGAGGTGGAGGTGAGTGGGAAATGGGAGGTGGAGAGGGGAGGAAGGTGGGGGATTGTTTTGTGTTAAGGACGAGACGTGGGGAGGGGATGGCGGAGCGGGGGAAAGGGAGGGAAGGGTGGGTTGAGGGCAAAGGGTGGGGTGTGGGGAGAGGTGACAAGCAGTATCATCTTGATGTCTTGTCATTGGCCATAGCAGAGGGTGGGTGGGGTGATGACGAGGGGTGATGACACCATTCTTCGCCCCTTCCTTTCTCTCCCCCCCCCCCCCCCCCCCCCCCCGTCCACCAGACCCCGCTGCTGCTGGGGGCAGACGGCATTCACTCGGAGGCGCGGAAGCATCTGCTGAGCGGGGCAGCATGCGAGGGAGTGAGTGCGAGAGACAACGGCAGAACCATCTGGAGGGCCATCATTGACAGCAGCCTCTGCCCGCACCCCGTATGTGCCCCCCTCGTCCCCCACCCTGTGTGTGCCCCTTGGTATCCAGTTACACGTCTCTGTGCCGGTAGACTATTCTCCCATTCTTGGCTTTTGAGTCGACTCAAAAAGTCAGTAGGTTATAGAGCCGGCGGGCTATGCTGGCTAGACTAGCCTCCCATTCTTTCCTTCTCCCTTCTTTCCCGGCCTTCCTTCTGGCAGCAGCTGCAGCCACAACACATACGGATTGTTTTGAGAATTCTCAATATTTTTTTTAGAATTTCTGGATTTACTCTGCACCACACTCCGTGCCAGCCGGCCACGCAGCAGCTACTTATGGTTTTGCAACCGCCGCCGACTGTGGAGCAGGCACGCTCTGTCTGGTTGATTATCCCGTACCTGGCCTTCACTTTCCCGGCCTTCTTTCCCGGCCTTCTTTCCCGGCCTTCACTTTCCCGGCCTTCCCTTCCCTTCCTGCAGCTGGTGCAGCCACGTCAGGTAAATACAATACTCGGTGACAACCGCACTGCAACCGCCGCCGACTGTGGAGCAGGCAAACTCTTCTGGGCGTGTACACTCATTGATTCCGCCGATCCGACGGTCAGCAGCGCACGATCCAAGGGGGGGGAGGAGGCGCGAGAGAAGATTCTGCGGGCATTTGAGGGGTGGGATGTGGTGGAGAGGCTTGTCAACGCCACTCCCCCCGACCTCATTCTTGAACGCCGCGTGCTCGACCTCCCGCCCCTGCCCTTCTGGGTCGAAGGCAGGACGGCTCTTCTCGGAGGTATGGCTGTCCTGGGAGGTACGGCACGCCTGGGAGATTACTTTGCCTTGAAACATTAACTAACTCTGCACTCAACTATGAACGTTAGTAGAATGAAGTACTACGAAACCTACATTCATAAATTACATTCACAAACTAAATTACATCTCGCTTTTGAGCTCGACATAAACTGGTGCTATTGCTGCTCGTGGCGCTGTTGCTGGGGATGTTGGTTCTCTTGATTCTAAAGCTATTTTTCAATGTCGGATCCGACATGAAGAATATTGAAACACTTTGTGTATGCATTTTCTGTTCTACCACATTACGCTACCTTCCATAGTTGATTTCAATGTGGCAAGGGGTCAACCTTCCTTTGTTCATGTTTCCCATTTTGATAGCACTTCCTTCCGTGCACTGCTCTCTGCCTTCCCTGCGTTACCCTCTGCCTTCCCTGCACTGTTCTCTGCCCTCTCTGCTCTACCCTCCCGCCTGTCCAGATGCGGCGCATGCAGTGACGCCAGGGCTGGGGCAGGGAGCCAATCTGGCGTTTGAGGATGCGGCTCAGCTGGTGGAGTGCCTCCGGGGGAACTCGCATGCCAGGTGGGTTCTGCATATGTCACGTGAGTTGTCAGGTGGGCGCCACAGATGTCAGGTGGGTTGTCAGGTGTTTTCCGTTGTTCCATTGCACCATGGTGCATTCGCATGTTTTTTCATCCACCCACCCTCCCTCTCTCCCTCCCTTCGTCTTTCCCTCCCACTCCCCCTATTTTGCCTTGTCTCTCCCTCGTCATAATCCTTTCTCATCCCCAAAACTGCCCTTCGCCCTGGCCAAAATCCATTCTCCTCCCTTCCAGTGACGCTCTTCGCTCCTTCCAATCCATCCGCATGCCACGAGTGCAAGCGGTGATATCACGGAACGTCGCCCACACAAAGAAGCAGTATGACGCAGGAAGGAATAGGAGGAAAGCGGGCGGCGATGGAAGTGAGGATGATGAAGCATCAAAGCTTGAAGAGAAACAAGCGCCATCGGCAGCAGCGGCGGCAGAGAAGGGGCGTGATACCAATGAGGACCTTTTTGGCTATGACGTCGTGGATTGGGAGGATCCTTGTGTTGCGAGTGTTGTGCTATGATTCGTTTTGAGATGTCTTGTTACGAAAAGGGAGGTGTGATGCTGACAAGATACGTTACTGTTACTAGGGTGCTGTGGCTTGGAAGGAGGATGCTCGTGTTGTGCGGTGCAGTGGTTTTGCGATTCGATGCTGTTATGACTCGTAACTGCGCATTCACATATGTGTCTCATTATTTCTAGGGTGAACGAAAGTGATTTATGCTGTGTGAGATGAGCTGTTACTTTAAAATTCGTCTTTTCCATTTTCTTAGCTCCCATCCTAATTCACTTCCCCTCATACTCCTATTGCTGTCTTCTATAGCTATCTCGTAGCGGAACATGCGCTTCGACGCATCCCCAAACCCGAGCCTCACACCTCGCCAGGGTCGTCTAACCGTGCCACAACAAACAGAACCTACCATACCGCCACCACCACCAGTTCAGTTCTTGCCCCAGGAACCACAAATATAAGTTACAAATCAGGCTCGTATTTCCCGAGGCAAGCCATGCCCCCACAGCCAAGGCGAAGAGCCAGCCACTTTCCAAGCCTTGGGTTTGCCCTGGACTCGGAACCACAGGTTCTGGTCAAGTGAAACCAAACCCAGAAGAACACAAGTACAGGATCAGGGTGCTTGGAATTTAGGGTTGCCCCTGATCTCAAATCCCAGCAATTCAGGCAATAGTTGAATGACTTTCCAGGTCTCGCCAGCCAGCAAGCTGCTATTATACCTAGCTGCTATTTTATTCGGCCTGCTCTATATTCCCGATGGAAGGACGAGATGGAAGGAAACTGCAATGGCGAACAAAATGGAATCAGCTACGGCGAGCCGTCCCTTCGTAAGGCTGGGCTCGGCTCGAAAAATGTCTCCTACCGAACCTGCCGCTTTTTGGTCTTCGAGATGCCATGGATACTCGTTCGGCATTACGAGCTTGCTGGACTCGATTTGAGCAAATTACAGCCACAGCTCTAGCTCTCAAACTAACTGTATTTGGAATCATTCTTACATCTGGACACAGTAATGGCGAACAAACGGAATCAGCTACGATGAGCCGTCCCGCTAGGGCTTGTCCAGATGCGGGCTCGGCTCGAAAAACGTCCCTATCGAGGCTGCCGCGTTTGGTTTGCGAGATGCCATGGATACTGGTTCGGCATTCCGGAGACAGTAAAGATGCAAGGCTCGCTGGACTAAATCCGAGCATATAGCAGCCACAGATTTCTCAAGCCCTCAGGTGAACAGATTCTGAAATCATTCAAAGTTCGGGTGTCATTCACGAGAGTTCTTTCCGGCCCTTTTCACCAGTCGTGAGAACTCGTGCTTCCTTGATAGTATCAAAACGAACGGTTTGGTGGCAACGTCATGCTCGAACACTTCAGTATGGCCTCTGTGTCGCACGTCGCGTCGACCGTTCTGGTAGCATCACCCATCCCAGCCGTCCATCTCGTGGACCCGCGGAAAACCGTGTCACCATCTCTGAGCACGAACCTGCATTATCAGCTGATTCGTTTTAAAAAACGAGCCTCACAAGCTGAGTGTTGTGCGTCTGGAAGCATCGGTAAAAGCTTCAGCATCAGGAGCAGCAGCAGTAACAACAGCCTCTCCAACGGAAGTTATTTTCCAACAAGGCCTTCTGGGGCTCGCAATGTCAACCGTGGAGGATGTTGGAGGGGTGTTGCTGCCTCTGCATCTTCTCCTGCTGCTTCCGCGAGCACCACGGGCACAGGGGGACCAGCAGTGTCGGAGGCAGTCATTGTGGGTGGAGGATTGGCCGGCCTCGCAACTGCTATTGGCCTCCGGAACATTGGGATTGACGCGCAGGTGTGGTGCTATTAGGAAGCAGGCAGAGTGCTGGAGGGGGGAATGCTGGAATCAGGTACACTAGAGCTCTTACTGAGACATTACTATGCATTGTTTCCAGATCAGTCCCATCTTCAACTGCTCTTTCCTTATTGTTTTCCCCCATTGTGTCTACCTGTCGCGATTCAAGCTATTGAATGTAACAAGACGTCGTGTTTCTGGTCTTGCGCATTCTCTGTGTATGTCGTTCCATGCATGCCAGGGTGTACATACTAACATCTATGCAACAGACAGCATGCTCATTAGAGCTTCACATGCCATGCCATGCCATGCCATGCCTGACGCCACATCCCCACATGCAGATGTACGAGGCACGGAACGAGGTGCTAGGAGAAGCTTTTTACACCAACCAAGAGCCATTCTATGCCACGCGCCAAGCCACATTCCCACGTTCCCATCCCATCCAAATCCCACGTCTCCACATTCCCACATTTGAGTCGCCTCACAAGCCAAGCCACATCCCCACATGCCCACATCCCCCACATCCCTCCATGCAGGTATACGAGGCTCGGGACGAGGTGCGAGGGGAGGGCACCCTCCTCTGCCTCTTCCCCAACGGGCTCAGGGCGCTCAACCGCATCGACCCTGCCATTGTACCCCAGGCATGTCATAGGCTGATAGCTATGGCGGCATGTGAGAGCTGGTAATGATTGTGCATTTCAGGGGACTTTGAACATGCTGTTGAAGATGATCCTTCATGATTTCCCCCTGTTCTTCTCTTCCTATTCCTCTTTTTCTTCTCTCGCTTTCTTTTCCTTTTGATTTTTGAGTTGTTGTTGTTGTTGTTTTTTTTTTTTTTTTTTTTTTTTTTTCGCGAATTCGTGAAACCCATTCGCCTCTTCTCCCACGTTCTTCCCCCAACTCATGCTCGCAGTGCCTTGCACATTCTCCTGTTTCCTCATTTCTCCCCTTTTCCCGTTTTTATCTTCTTTCCCTCAGCTGATATCCAGTGGAGTACCGGACCCCACCTGTCTCAACCGCTCTCCAACTGGCGAACTCCTTTTCCGGTGGGACCTTGCGTCCAACATGACCCCCCGCTTCGGCTTTCCCGTGCTCGCCATTCGCTGGAAAGAGGTGCTCGATGTGTTGCGCGGGATGCTGCCAAACGACGCCGTCCATGCCGGGCACAGACTCGTGGGGTTTACGCAGGGAGAGGAGGAGGCGGAGGGGGAAGGGGATGGAGAGGGGAGCGGCTTGGTGAGATGCGTTTTTTTTAAGGTTTCGGGCGGTGAAGAGCGGTTGTTGGAGGTGGAGGTGAGTGGGGGAGAGGAGATGGGGACTGGAGGAAGGTGGGGGATGGTTCTGTGTGCAGCGTGGGATGAGGGGAGGGAGTCAGGGAGTGATAGAGTGGAGGGGAAAGGAGGGAAGGGTGAAGGGTGGGGACAAGCAATGTGCGGTCGTTGTTCTGTCAATCCATGGGTAAGGTGATGACTTGAGGCGATACCATGAGCATCGGACCGCCTTGTTTGTGTGACTGCCTCCTCCTTTTCTTCTCTCCCATCGGCCAGACCCCTGCTCTGCTGGAGGAAGACGGCATTCACCCTCTGTCTCCTCGTACCTCTTTCCACCACTCTTCACCCCCTCTCTTTCCCCCACACCCACCAGACCCCTCTGTTGCTGGGGGCAGACGGCATTCACTCAGAGGCACGGAAGCAGCTGCTGGGGCAGGAGGAGGGGCGGAGTGGGAGGGGCGGGACAGCAGGCGAGGGAGTGAGTCCGCGAGACAACGGCAGAACCTCCTGGAGGGCCATCATCGATAGTGCCCTCTGCCCCCACCCCGTATGTGCCCCTCTGCCCGCACCCCGTATGTGCCCCTCTGCCCCCACCCCGTATGTGCCCCTCTGCCCCCACCCTGTACCCCGTATGTGCCTCTCTGCCTGCACCCACCCTCTATGTGCCTCTCTGCCCGCCCCTCTGCCCGCACCCCGTATGTGCCCCTCTGCCCCCACATCGTATGTGCCTCTCAGTACCCTACCCAGTTACATGCCCTGCTGTTTCTTCCCTGCCCTCCCTTCCCTTCTGGCAACTGCTACAGCCTCGCCACATACTCACCACA